TCTCTGCTTTGAATGTTTGCAAAATAATTTTTATCGCTTCTCAGCCTATTGCCCATTCTTCTTCCTGAAGGGTCTCCAGTGCCAGTGGGAAGAGATGTCAGACTGAAAGCGTTGACAGCATTTCAGAGGCTAACACGGTAATTTTCTCCAGATGCTGGTCTTTTTCTGAAAGGCTGGAGACTCAATAGTGTCAGAGTCACTGGTATTTTTACAAATCATTGTAATTACGTATGTTGTTTATTTTTCCTACGTTGCTTAACAGAGTCGTGGTTGCTTTCCTCTCTTCTAGGCACTTCTTTCTGCCTTTGATTCCAATGGCTATCCCTTCCGGGCTCTTCTCTTTGCCCTCCGGCGGTTTCATAGTGGTGGGGCGCTGTAAGACCACACGGTCCAGTCAGTCGTGTAACATGAACCAGGAACAATTGTACGAGAAGGAGGGATGATCACAATATATGTGGAAGATGAAATCACAATCACGATCCTTCCCCATAAAATCATAGACACTGAACCATACTTGATGGATCGCTTCCAAATGTTTCAATTAATATTAACTTTGCTTGTCTGTAGAGAAACAACAGCAGAGGACACAGGATTTTTTTAAAAATTCTCACCTAAGGATATTTTTTCCATTGCTTTTCAGAGAGTGGAGGGGAGGGAGAGAGAGAAACATCGATGTGAGAGAGACACATAGATTGGTTGCCGGGAATCGAGCCTGCCACTGAGGTACGTACGTGCCCTTGACCCGAACGGAACCTGGGACCCTTCCATCCGCAGGTCAGTGCTCTAACCACTGAGCAAAACCGGCTAGGGCAGAATTATTATTTTTTTTAATTTATGGGAACTAAAATTTTAAATTAATAAAATTTAGTCTATTCCCTTATATTTTCTAGAAATTTACAAAAGACTGCCATTCTTTTAGTTTGCAGTGGGATATCTGCATTTTCATGGAGTCTTATTTGCAAACCACCATCCCTAAAACATCCAACCCATCAATTGTTATGATCTTCAACCTTCCTTTCAGCCTTTTTTTTTTTTTTTAATCTTTGTCATTTTGTATGTCTTGCTTTTTTGTTTTCCCTTCCCCTTCCCTTAATTAAAAAAAATCATTTTAACTATTTTTATGTTTTAATGTTCCCTACCATAATTTTCTCATTTTATTTTCTCTACTCCTTAGAACCACCTTCCCTGTCCTCATAATTACCAGAGCCATTTTTCTTTGAAGTCATTTTAAGGTTTTTCAGGATTTTACTCTAAGAAATCATCTTAATTACCTTGGCTAACATATATGCACACGCACCTCCATCCTTTGTTTTCAGATATGTTGCCTTTTTACCTACAACTAATTCTGTTCACCTGTCCATGTCTCAGAGCTTTGCGTCGCCCAGGCTGGCGTAGTTTCCTATGCCAAGTGAAGAATGCTTTATCGCTCCAAACGCTCAGTGTCCGTCTCCTTGTTCTTACCTAACTGATACACATTCTTACATGGGAATCGTCTTCCCGTCCAGTGTTGTTCGCTTTGGTGGTGCCGCCTTCCCATCATCTCCGGTCGTCGTTTTCTTCTGTTTCCTACCAACACTATACTCCCTGCCACTGTCCTCGACCAGGGCCCGAGCAGGTGTCACTGGGAAGCTGCAGCTTTGAATACGTTTTGGTTTTGATTTTAGTTTTGAAGTCTTGTTCCTACCGCCCCCCAAGTATTAAACACGTTAGCGGTGAAGGCCTTTAGAGGGGCCGTGCCCTCCAGCCGCCCGGGCCCCAGGCCTGGCTTCTGCTTTGCTCACTGACGGCGCCCACCGGGCCCGGCAGTCGTTTGAGGTCGCGACCGGCAGCCAGTGCTCGTTGCCCTTCATTTTCTGCTTTAAACATGGGAGCTTGATTCTTTGTGTGCCTGTGGATGGGGGTGGGAGATTAAAAGTAAAACCGGGGAGTAACTCTTTCACAAATAGAAGAATTTAAATTACTTTCATTTCGAACTCCATTTTCCATCTGGAAAGACTTAGTTTGTTGTTTGTCCAATCAAGTCATTTTGTGTACATTTTTATGGACATTATTCCTTGCATTTCATTCCCTTTCCTGGAATCTTTTATGTGTGTTCTTGTGAGATTTTCAAAAGTTGCCTTGGGATACTTTTTGGAATAAAAGTATTTTTGATGTATAAACTGTAGCTTATATATAGTGGTTTTTCATGGAATTAAGTTTTGAAATTTAGAGTCTATATATTATTTTTGTTATATGCAAAACCCACAACTAAACGTAAAAATTTAAAAAGAAAAAAAGAGCAAGAAAGAAAACAAAGTACGATGTCTTAAGGAAGCAGGACTCGAAATGATAAATTACTTACATTGTGAGGCCTAATAATCTTTTCATATGTATCTTAATATTTTTATTTATAGTGACTCCTCCAACTAGTTATTGTTATTCAAATGCTTACTGACCCGGCCGAGTGTGGCTCAGCAGTTGAGCATCGACCTAGGATCCAGGAGGTCACGGTTCGATTCCCGGTCAGGGCCCATGCCTAGGTTTTGGGCTCCATCCCTAGTAGGGGGCGTGCAGGAGGCAGCCGACCAATGACTCTCATCATTGATGTTTCTGTCTCTCTCTCCCTCTCCCTTCCTCTCTCTGAAATCAATAAAGATATATTTAAAAAACAAAAACAAAAACCCCCACAAATGCTAACTGAATGAAAAAAATCACAGGGCACACCTAATATCCTTCTATTCCTTATCATTACCTAATTTAATATTTATTTCAGTTCAGTATCAAGCCTTAAGTGAAACTTCTTTCATTTTATCCACCCTTCTCAAGGCAATAGCGCCACTAGTACTCACCACTCAAACATGCCTTGTTTAGAAAGTTCCAGCTCTTCCTGGCTCAAAGAGCTTTTACTGGCGTTTCCTTGCGATTCTTGAGCTCTGGGAACACACTCTCATTTCCCCTTTCTGGGAAAATCATCCCTGAATGACCCAGTCTGCAAAAAATTCTCTTTGTCTCCATCCTGAATTGAACCTCCGTCTTCTCTCCTGAGTAAGGTCAGCTTTGGTACTCAGATCAGCTAAAACGGGCCCCGGTTCTCCAAGCTCAAGTTCAAAAGGCTTCCTAATTATCAGTGACCCCTGGTGTTGGCTTCTTTGGCTCCTCATTTATCATCTTCCCATCCTCCCTCGTCCCACACTGAATTCACTTTCAATCCCTTTAACTTTTACCCTGCTCTCCTTCCAACGTGCTGTTCAGCCTGAACTTCTCATGGTAGTTCCAGCTAATGGCACTTCAGCGTGTCACTGGCATGTCCCAATGCCTGCCATTGACTTCACAGGGTCAGTGTTGGCCCTGTGACCTTCAGGTCAGGTTGAGCATCTGATTCCAAATAGATGCTTATTAAAGCAGTCCGTGCAGGAACCCGCACAATCCCCTGTAGTCGTACAGTAATGAATGAATCACTCTATTTATTTATCTTTATCCTAATCCAGATTGATACTCTCAGATCAAAGAAGAGAAACAATATAATGTATCTCAATTCTGAACCTTAAAAAAGCAAACTAGCTCATAACTGAGCGGTGACTTATTTGTAGCTTACTGAGACTTGTTCTCTGCTTGCATAATAAATGCCGAAGTTCTATTATATGTTAATTCAAGGAATTTTTTAGTGTTGTTGGGAAATAAGTGATACTAAGAGGTAAACAGTTGTAAAGTGAAACATATTAGCCACACCCAATGATTGGAGAGTTTCTGTTCAAACAAAATATTAAATGTAGCATCTGAGAGCCAAACCAAACTGAAATTATTGACAAACCCAATTTTTTTTCCTGCTAATGTGATGTTAATGTAGCTTTCTCGCTCATCTTTACCTCCTCACCTGGGGTGTACATTAACAATTCAAATCCCTTAGCCATACAGAGAACTAGCTTCTGGGGAACGTGCCATTTTAACATATCCACAGGTGATTCTTTCGAAAACCTGAACCTGAGATCCACCACTTTGTGGTACTTTCTGTCTCTCAAGCTGAGGAAAGTCATTGCCTCTGTCCCAGGACCTCTGACAACTTTCTTTCCACTAACAGCTCTAACAAATGCTGTATCCAGGTTTTTGTGGGATTGTGGTTTATTCAACTTGGCGTGGTGGTGGTTCTTTAACAAAAATAATAAAATTTATGGATACAAAATCAGTTATAAAAGTGAATATTTATTCACAATGGGAAAAGAAATCAAAACAAAATGCTGGAGTATGGAGTTTCAGGTCCTTTTCTTCTGAGATCTCTTTGGGCGACGTGCCAGAGAGCTTACGTAGAGATGCTTCCCAGCTCTAACTGGCTCCCGGTCCCCAACCCCAATACTCTATGCTTCCCAGGCACCCTCAGCATTCACTGGCGTCCAGGTGAGCGGGAGGCTCTGCACCTGACGCTCACCNGAAATCAAAACAAAATGCTGGAGTATGGAGTTTCAGGTCCTTTTCTTCTGAGATCTCTTTGGGCGACGTGCCAGAGAGCTTACGTAGAGATGCTTCCCAGCTCTAACTGGCTCCCGGTCCCCAACCCCAATACTCTATGCTTCCCAGGCACCCTCAGCATTCACTGGCGTCCAGGTGAGCGGGAGGCTCTGCACCTGACGCTCACCAGCTGCATCCGGAATTGATCTGATAACGTGAGATAAGCCGCTCGCTCACAGGCCATTAGCTCCGTGGCAGTCAGTCTGGATAACGGTGTGGAGTGGGCTTCCCGAACCACGTTCCTACAACCTTTGACTTGTCTCTCTGCCTCTCTGCCTAGGACTTTACAATGACTTTTAAAAAAAATATATTTTTATTGATTTCAGAGAGAGGAAGGGGGGGACAGAGGGAGGAACATCAATGATGAGAGAGAGAGAGTTATTGATCGGCTGCCTCCTGCACGCCCTTGCTGGGGATCGAGCCCGCAACCCGGGCATGTGCCCTGACCGGGAATCGCACCCCGATCCCCTGGATCCTAGGTCGATGCTCAACCGCTGAGCCACGCCGGCCGGGCTACAATGACTTTTTATCTCAGGCATTACTGGAAAGATGAAAGGCTCTCCTTTCCTAGCACAGCAAACAAAAGCCTCACTTGTGATCGTAGATTGATCAGAAAGATTTGGGTGCCTGCTACCTTTCTTGGCCATTCTAAAAGGTCCTTCACCCACGACCCGGCTCGACTGTGGCGAGCACTGTGCGCACTCGCCAGGACGCCGCCCTCAGCCGCAGGCGAGGAGGCCGTCTGGGCCCTCGGCTGCCTGGCCCGCGGCGTCCACGCCAAGGCTGCCTCACCTCACGCTAACCTCACAACACTGCTGTCTGTTTAGTGATGCTGGAAATTGCGACACAAGCAAAAGATGTGATTTTTTGTTTGTTTGTTTAACTTTCAGATTTTAAAGAATGGTTTCCTAGTCTAACTCTTCCCACCCTGGGCATATGTTGGGGAATGACAGGAAATAAGGTTGGACAAATAGAGTGGAGATTAATTACTCAAACCCTTAAAAGTCTGACGCACAATTTTATGCGTATGCAAAACTGCTTTTCCCACTCACCAGCTCCACCGCACCCCTGCACCCCGCCAAGCAGTCTTGGGATCTTGGATTCGCTAAATAATTTTCTTAACTATCTCCTTCATTTTTCATGGGAAGGTATGGTTATGATACCAGTTCCCGCTAATTTCCTCACTTCCTTTTTCATGTTTTTTATTGAAAACATTAGTTCTGATGCTGTGCTAGAAGAGTCTCCCATTTTTAGTGTACTATATGTCATTTTAGCCTGATGAATCCCGACAGCTTATTATAGGTAATTCTCAAAATGTTTGGTAAATCTAAGCACTTTAATTTTTTTCATGTCTTAGAAATCCCAGAAAGATCCTGAAAAAAATAGCTCCCCCCAAAGATACCCATGTCCTAATCTCTGGAATCTCTCGAGGTTACTGTATAGGGCGGAAAAACGATCTTTGCGGATGCGATTAAGTCAAGAGTCTTGAGCTAGGGAAATTTTCCTGGATTATCTGCTTGGGACCTTAATGCAACCATAAGTACCCTCATAAGTAAAAGGCATAGGAAGAGTTCAGGCAATGTGACCATGAAGATGAGATTGTAGCGATGCAACAACCAGCCCAGGAGTGCTGGCAGAGGCCAGGAGCTGCAAAAGGCGATGAATTCCCCGGCTAGAGTCTCTGGAGGGAGCAGGGCCTTTCTGACAGCTTGGTTTTAGATTTCTGGCCTCTGGAACTGTGAGATCATGGTTCCTGTTGTTTCAAGCCACCAAATTCGTGGTAATTTGTCACGGAGGCCACAGGAAACGAATACAGATTCTTTTTGTTCATTAAAAACACCTTGTTCACTTAAGTACATAGTTGCTATTGCCAGACATTTCACGAAGGCTGTCAATGTTTTTTAAAGTGCAATTAAAGGAGAGTACTGCTTTCAACAGTACTTTAAAACTGGAGTAAAGTAGGACTAATAAGTACTAGAGTCAAGCTTCACTAGGAGTCAAATGTTGTAAATTAATTATTTTGATGAAGGAATGTCCATTAAAGAATTAACTCAGCCGGTTGTCCATAGCCTGCCCATTCCAAACAGCTCCTGGGAGGTAACCTCCAAGCCCTTGGAGTATCCTGTCTGATAAGAGTGTCTTTGTTTACCCGGAGGCCTTGGGCTACACCGGGTTGTCTACATGACGTATGATAGGGGCCTTGACCACATGTGGTGATACCCCTGATAGGAGACTAGTCAGCCATACCTACGTGCCCAACCCTCAATTAATTCTTTGGAGCCCAAGGCTCAGGACCTTCCCTGGTTGGCAATGCTCCATGTGTGTTGTCACACGTCCTTGCTAAGGGAATGGAGCACTGTCCGCATAACTCCTCTAGAATAGGACAAGTGGAAACTTGTTCCTGGTGTATCCTGGACCCTGCCCTAGGCGCCTTTTCCACCGTTGATTTTAATTTGTATCCTTTCGTGCAATAAACTGTAACTGTTACTGTAACAGCTTTGACGAGTTCTGTGGGTCCTTCTAGCTAATGATTGAACTTGAGAGTGGTTTTGGGGAATCCCTGAAAACATGAGGACTCAAAATTATTGTCTACATAGCTGTTCCAGCTGACAGCAGGTCACCTGGTTCCAGGCTTGGTTCTGGAACCATCTACTGACAAAATTCTTCTCTTGGCCCAACTCTACTCAGGCTCCTCTGAGCTCTCTCTCCACCTATACCCTGACTTTGGAGCTTTTTGTATTTGTTTCGCTAAGTCAATTTAGCCACATCCGATCAGGGGCCTCATCCTCCAGCACCCTAGGTGCTGCCTGATCACCCAGGTCTGCCTTCAGCGGCAGTCCTGCTAGGCCCACTTAGCCGTGATCCCCCCTTCCCCCGGATGCTTCCTCTGAGTACTTTTCTACCCACTGACTCCCATCCTGCTCCTTGGCTGTAAATGCCCACTTTCCTTTGTTATATATGGAGTCGTGCCCAATCTATCTCCCTTATTAAAAAGCTCCATTGTTGTAGTCCCCCCTTCATAAAGTCTTCCTTACTGGTCTTTAACAAAGGTCCTGAGTAATGTTTTCTTTACTCCTAACCTCCTTGGTTGCTAACTTATTCACGTGTACTATGAAGATGGTAGAAGATGGTATCAAAGACTTCAGAGGTCCCTTCCCACTTTAAAGTACTAGGGAAATGCCAAGGTGAGTACAGCCATCCGGGCACCCCCCTGGCACGGCGTTCTGCTAGGTGACTGCTGACAGTAGAATTCAGCCCACGGAAGATAAAGTAATTCCACTTCTCTGATTAACTTGAGGGCACTGTGGGTAGGAGCAGCTGTTGCCTTTCTTTCTTGCTAACTCGCTCAGGGGCCTTTTACGAACCTCTGATCTGCTATTGTGACCAGAGTTTTTACTTTGAGGCAGGATCATAGTACTGTAGCCTCTGCCTGAAGCCAGGAAAATCTAGGAGGATGTAAAATTTGAAAAAACGAACAGTCCTCATCAGTATGCAAGCCCTTTGACTTAACGGCACCTGCATTATGCATTGTGCACATAGATCTATAACTGAAAATACTTGGCTTGTCCCTCTCCTGGAAAGACAATTTGCTCAGGCAAACTTGCTTTGTGAGAGAAACCTTTACCCATGGGCTTTGATTACCGCCCCCCCCCCAGTCCTTTATGACTAGAAACTATTTAAGTTTGGCTCTTAATCTGTTTAAAAGCATTATCACTTTCAAGTGTGTTTCTCTGAACACTTAGGAGCCAGAAAATGGAGAGGGAGCTGAGCAGGAAATGGTGAGATCAGAAGCAATTATTAGGGTAGGAATTCACCCGTGAACTCTGTGTCTGCGGCAAATCATCCACCTTCCTGGGTTTGTTTCCTTCTGCGTTATTTGGATAGAAGACGGTAACGCCTGTTTTGCATTACTCTTGAAATGCACACAAACGAGCAGACGGTAACAGCGCTTCCTTTAGTATTGCACGCTTATTTGGCCATATGCTTCGATGGCCTGCGGTTTCCCTTTTCTTACTCTTTTCCTAGGATAACTGTTTCCGCCACGTGCTTTATGGATTTCAGCGGGTTTCCCCTTGACACTCAGAATTGTTCCCTTGAGCTGGAAAGCCGTAAGCCTTCCTTCCCGGTGCACACACATGACCTGGACACACCATCTCAAACTTGCCCGGCACTAAGCATGCTCTTAAGGATTTAAAAATCTTGATGGAAGTTAAATAAGTTTATCCAAAATATGTAGTTGCTTTTTTTTTTCTTTTATGAGGATGATGGCAAATTGCCTCTCAAATGAGAAGATTCAAGGGAAAAATTATGCTTCGATAATTATATATTTTTCGGTTTCCACAATGGTTACAAAGGAACAGCTCCCTATGAAGGTGTATTTTTGTTAATGTTATTAACGTAGACTGACATAGACTTTCCAAAGATGGAAAGCTCTGGAATTCATGTTCCCATATGAGTCACAATCTTTTATTCAGTGTACTTGGGTTCCCCCAAAAACCCAGCTCTAGACATAGGTCCTCTAATCAGAGCCCTGTCAAAGGCATCTGAGGCCAGCTCCTGTCAATGACTTTGACCCATCAGCTATTTTTGATACACCTTAAAAGCTGAATGTAGTTTTTCATGATGAGGCTAAAACGCTGGGAATCTCAGTGGATGTCTCCTACACAGATGTTCCTCCCTCCTCCCCAAATCCATTAGAAACTTCCTTTAACACTATTTGTTTACAGAAGAAAATTCTTTATGAGCTCAGCTCATTTTGGAATTCTATCCACGAGATCTATGAAACTAAAGGGCCCTAGGGACCTGGGGTCAGGCCAGGGGCTGTGAGGCATGGCTGTGATGTCACTCAATGCGCAGACATGGGAGCAGGTATCGGAGAGTGTTAAGTCATCATATGGGCACAACAAAAGCCTCACACTATGCCAGTCATCAGGCTCTAATTTTTGGAGATTTTTTCTTCTGGTAGGTGTGGGTATCGCCAAACATTTTTCAGTGCCTAATATACATGTCACTGGACCAGGCACTGAGGATACAGAGACTCGTGAAGCTTACAAGAACTTATTCTAAAAATGTTATATTCTTGTTTCAGATGCCTACAATGAAGAGGATCTCGTGCTGTACTGAAGACATAGAAATGGGTCCTTAAATACTGGTGAGCATATTTCCCTTCCTCAGTTCTTCATTGAAGAGTCCAGGGCATCCGGTGGATTTGCCTCATACAGCAGCACAGGTCAAGCATTTTATGTGGGCAATTCCCAGACACTTATTGTGCACCTACTGTTTGCAAAGTAACATGTGAAGAGACCTGAATCCAAACAAGCGTCCCACTTGGCCAATAGTATCACCCTTCTTTTGGAGGTGGCCACCTCCACCTTGCTGGTGCATCATTTCCCTCCTCAGGCAGCCGCTCCTCACTAGAGGCCTTGCTTCCATTCTTGGCCCCCACCGACTACTCTCAGTGCAGCAGACGGAGCGATCTTTAGAGAACATAAAGATCACAATTCTTTCCTGCTCAGAAACCACCCTGTGTTTTTTCATCGCTCACATCATCAAAGTTCAGGCTTCTCAGCAGGACCAACAAGGCCCTACATGATCTATCCCTGACCTTGGCCACTACCCTGACCCTGCACCACATCCTACTCTCCAGACCGGCCGCCTTGCTTGTCCTCAGACACACCAGTCTCCTTCCACCTGCAGGGCTTCGGCTCTGCCTTTCCTCCCTCTTTCCGAGTGCTTGCTCCCCAGTCTTTTCATGACCAGCTCTCTTATTTCATCCAGGGCTCTGTCAGATACCATCTCTCCAAAGAGTGTTAACCCAACCATCCTATCTGAAATAGGCCCCTTTCCTCAGCAGTCCGTAGCTGTGTTTGTCTCCACAGGTATTACCACTGCCTGAGATACAGTTTCTTTAACTGCTTTGTTGTCTGAGTGCCCGACTAGGAAGAAGGGAGGGAATGTGTCTGCCTCGTTCACCGTTTCTTCCCAGCACCTGGCACGCGTCTGGCACATGCTTGGTGCTCTGTAAATATCAGCTGCATGAATGAATCAATCGAGTGCATCATTGCCCCAAATAGAGAACAGAGAATCTGTTCAAAATCGGGCTCTATTGTATACTCTTTACTATGACAGGCGTATTTTTGGCAGCATTTATCCAAGGCGCCTTTTAAAATTGTATTTGATCCCTTCTAACTAAAGTTAGAAGTAGCCTTCTCTGGTTATTAGCATTCTGGGTGATTTCAGACAGAATCCATGTAAGATACCATTTTAGATTCTTGAAGTCAAGCTCAGGCCGGAGAGGGTGCCAACAGTTGCCCCTGGGGTTCAGAGCTGCCCTGGTTAGGATCCTTGTACTCACTCTGCCCTGATGGCCACTTTCCCCCCAAAGGCCCTCTACTCTGCCCTTAGCCCTTGGAGAGAAGTTATCAAGTTGTTATCTAAAAGCCAGCATCCTTAAGAGAGAAATCAAAATTTACATCACAGAGAAGCTGAAGGACTTTCTAGGATCAACAGCTATTGAGTTATTAGATCCTGAAGAAATGCCCTATTTCATTCCATTTGTGTCTGCCTTGCTTGGGAGTCTCTGCTATGCAGACAATTCTGTGCTATGCAGATAATGCCGTTTATTATAATAATACTGATCGCTTTTCTGACTTTATAAGCAGCATAGTTTTTGTTTTGATCATTCATGTATCTCTGGCACGTAGTAGAGGCTCAATAGCTGTTGTCGAATGAAGGAAAGAATGGGAGGTAATTTGAAAAGAATTTAGAAAAGTTTAAAGAAAAAGCCTTTGTAATCCCACCGCATAGAGATAACTGTGTTATTATTTTGATGTATTTTCTGCTGCTCCGTCTCATCTTCTTTGTCTTTCTTAAAATAAGTAAATATACATATGTTTTTAATCAGTATTTTTAAAGCTCTTAATCTTAAATTAAATCAATATTTAAATGAAAGAATGCATGGAATGAACAATAATACATATTAAAGTAGAGTTTATAGCTTTTTCCACTTCAGTTTTGTTATGATGAAAGAACTTTGGCACATAATAAATTGTAAATAGGACTTTGCAATGTTTGATGCTATTAAAATGAAGCATAGAAATCCAAGAGTATTATTTCCTGCACACAATATATACAACATATATAATAATAATAGCAATGACATTTCTTCTGATTTTTAAGCACAAGTATCCATTAGCATATATCCAACTATCCTCTTAAAAATTCTAATGTCACCAGTAGCCATCCCATTGGCCCTGCTGTCTCTTTATCTGTGCTTCTCAGACTTCTTGAGCCCTACTCATGAGGTCCAACATTAGTCCATTTTTTAGCTTCTTCTGTTCATGTTTTAGAGTCTGTCTAAGGCAAGATAAAATACTTGCACTGAAAAACATACTGCACAGAAATAAGCTATTAAATGTTTTTAAATGTACTAAACATTATTAATATTTCAGTGTAGTTACATTTTTAAAAAATAAAAATTTGGCTTTAAAATTTTTTTATTATTATTATTTTTTGTTTTTTTAAAATATATCTTTATTGATTTCAGAGAGAGGAAAGGAGAGGGGGAGAGAGAGAGGTAGAAACATCAATGATGAGAGAGTCATTGATTAAGCCCACAGCCCAGGCGTGTGCCCTGACCGGGAATCGAACCCTGATCGCCTGGATCCCAGGTCGATGCTCAACTGCTGAGCCATGCCCAGCTGGGCTGGCTTTTTTTTTTCAAAGAAAAAAAGAATTAGATTCAAATATACATGGTTTGTGTAGCATTACTATTTCTCCATAATAAATTAAAAAAATTGAAAACCAAGTTATTTTAAAAGGATTTATGCATATATTTTGTAATGTATATAAAAATTAACAATAAGTACCCTGAGAAGTAAGTATACATTGGGAAATTTTTATTTATGTTTCAACAATTTTAATTTGTATTTTTAAATGTGTTATATACATTTTTTAAATGAGAAAAATTAAAATGGACTCTAAGACTATAAAAATATATAAGAGTAAAGCATTTTGGAAGTTGTATTCAAATGTCAAGTTAATAATCATTTCTAGGCTCATTCAGAAAGATCAGCATTTAAAGTTTATTTTCTTTCACAAGTAGGTGACAGTTCTGCCTCACGTTATCCATGAATTATTAAGCATGGTCTCCTGAGAGCTAAGCTCAGATGCTCTCCTCAAATTAGTATTCTGTCTAAAGATATTAGCTAATCAAAAATAATTTTTTAATATTTTATATTCATTCCTATCATTACAAAAAGCACCACAACTGCCACTCCCAAATCACCTCTACAGGAAAAAACTGTACTTGTGAGTCTGATTACAAGAGCCACCAGTATAGTTTATACAGTTGACCTTGAACAACACAGGGGTTAGAGGCCCTGACCCCGGGGTCGAAAATCTGTGTATCACTTAAGACTTCCCCAAAACTCAACTCCTAATAGCCTACTGTTGACCAGAAGCGTTACTAATAACATAAACAGTTGATTAATACATATTCTGTACTTTATCTGTATTATATACTGTGGTCTTACAATAAAGTAAACTAGAGAAAAGAAAGTGTTATCAAGGAAATCGTAAGGAAAATACATTTACCGCAGTGTACCGTATTTATCGATAACCGTGAGTTTACACCATGTGTTTACAAGATGAAAGAAACCCGTGTCTAAGTGGACACGTGCGATTCCAACCCATGTGGTTAAGGAACTTCAGTTCTCGTTTGCTGGCTGAGCCACCAGGCCCTCACTTTCCCCCCCACCACTACCTGGCAATATGAACAAGCAGGAGGGGGCTTCTGCCCCTCTTTCCTTTCACTGTTCCTCAAAATCCTGCACTATAGAGTTGCAAGGGGAAAAGGAATGAATCCTGCCCCTACGGGGTGCATTGAGCAAGGGCTCCTTATCGCAGCACAGTGTGGCGATAGGTGTACAAGTCCTGGAGAAGGACTGCATGAGTTCAAATCCCGACTCCACCACTTATTAGAAATGTGACCTTAGACTAGCCGTTTGCTCTCTCTGTGCCTCAGTTTTCCTCATCTTTAAATGGGTTGCATACTATTCTCTACCTGTAGGGTTGTGAGGATATATGATTTAATCCTTTTAAATAATTCAGAATACTGCCTGCCATAAATAACGTAGAATACTGTGTGCCATATGATAAGCGCTCAGTAAATATTAGCTAGAAGCTTTCGGCCTCATCACCATTCCCATCAACATCATCATCTTGATTCTTTCCACACACGTTGAGGCCTTACCGTGAACAGGCCACTGAAGGTGACAGTGTCCAGGGTACAAACCTTGTTGTGGGGCTGACTCCCATTTATTGCCCCTCTCTCCCATTTTCCTGGCTGCCAACTCCCCAGCTCTTTTCTCTCTTTCATAAACTGCCCTTCTTTCTCAACTGTGGCAACCTGAGAGAGGCAGACGGACCCTTCCACCTAAACGTTTGTTCACACGTCAAAACGTGTGATGCCACACACAGACCAAAAGGGACTAAAGAGACTGACTCCTCACATAATGAGGTTTCCTAGAGACAGCGGGTAGGCTCCCAGGCAGGTCTGAAAGCGGCCGGAGAGAACAGGGAAGGCGACTGGCTTGGGGCTTTAGGTGGTTGGGGGGGGGCGGGGGTGAGGGCTCCCTTTCACAGGGCAGGGCTTGCACAGTTCAATCTTGGGTGACAAAGGGAGCACCGACTTTCTAATCAGCTTGCCCAGGTGTGGGGCAGAAGGGAAACTGGGGCTGCAGAGCCGTCGGCAGTGAAATATCAGAAATGGAGTCAGATTCTTTATAACACGAACCAAAATGAGGGCTCCACATCCTTCCAAGGCAGTTCCACCTTCCCTCGTAGACGAAGGGAGCTCTTTCTGGCCTGCAGCTTTCACCACAGTGCCTTCCAGGTCTCGCCTTCTCTGAAGAACCGCAGGACAGAGCAACATTTCTCTTGCTTGGTTGCCCCCACCCAAAAAAATTCATAAATTTATGCATAAAAAAAAGAACCTTGTTACCTAAATTTATTTCAAGACTTAAAACCATACATAGTAACAGTGTCTTTTTTTACGAAGTACTTTCACAGCTTTTCCTTAACCCTTTTAATCCACACTAATTAAATGAAGCTGTAACATGGGACATGCTGTTATTCTGCTCCACAGCCGTAATCAGAACTCTTACTTGCACACAGTATCGATGTGGGGCTATGACATGGGTAATGCCAGGCAATGAGGAGCTTAAAAAGTAATGTGTATATTTTGACTTTAGAATACACTATGTAGTACATCTTTTATTACCCTTGGAGGTGAAATTGTTTAATGTTATTGAAACATATATCAACTGATGGTAAGAGAGAACCTCGGAACAGGTAGGGAAGAGAAAGGTAATTAGGACTTAACTGAGAATAGAATACTAGGAGTAGCCTGCTGATTCAGCGTGGGTTAGCTGGATGCCTAAATATGGACCTCATCCATCTAACACGTTTCTATCTTGGGCTTCCTAAGAGATTACTACTGACACTAGTAAAAGGGTTCTCTATGATTTTGTTTTATAATTTTTAACCTGTAGTCCCTGTGTTTTGAATAATTTTGTCTCAAAATACATTGTATTTATCATGGGAAAATTAATCTTACCACTTATTCATAAAAGGTATCTTTTCATTTTTATTAATTTCATTATTATTGCCTTCTTTTAGTAAAGACTTAATAAGATTAGGATCACAGTTATTGTGAAATAAAGCAAGATAATATGAATTAGAAATGTGTGGGAAAGAAAGAAAAAACAAGGGTGAGGAATTATATAGAACCTAGCATGTGGTTATTAGAGAATGGCACTCGGAGATACTCTAGACAGTCCAAAAATTTGGCTTTAAGCTTCCTTGTAGCCAGTGTGAAAAGGGAAACCCAAACGAAATATGTGGCCACATTTGGGCTTTTGATCAGCACAAATTAATCAATGTTACCAACATGAGTTTATATAATTTTAACAAGAAGCAAAGAAACACATCATTTGGTTCCTTTTTTTTCTTCAGATTTGTCATAGATAAGTTAATGGTGCCCATGAGGCTTTGAAATAAAAATAACCTACCCCCACTCTGAATTCCTAGCTGTCTGGATCCCAACTTGGAATCCAATGACCTAGTGGCTACTGCAAATCTTTTCCTTCAGATAAAATGTTTTATTTCTTTTTTTTTNATAAAAATAACCTACCCCCATTCTGAATTCCTAGCTGTCTGGATCCCAACTTGGAATCCAATGACCTAGTGGCTACTGCAAATCTTTTCCTTCAGATAAAATGTTTTCTTTTTTTTTTAAAGTTTTTAAAAAAAATATATCTTTATTGACTTCAGAGAGAGGAAAGGAGAGGGAGAGAAAGATAGAAACATCAATGATGAGAGAGTCATCGATCAAGCCCACAACCGGGCATGTGCCCTGAGCGGGAATTGAACCCTAATCGCCTGGATCCCAGGTCAATGCTCAGCCGCTGAGCCACGCCCGGCCGAGCTAAAATGTTTTATTTCATTTGTCACAGCTAATCAATGGTTTATTGATTATTGCATGCACTCATTGGTCATTTATTGAAAACTTGCCCAGTTGCAGACACACTGCAAACACAACATATTTTGGAGAAAGGCCTTTAAAGGCCATCCCACAAAATATAATTACCATTCATCCATGAACATCAGGTGTGAGACTTAAGGGGGATATTTGAGACACATGATTAAACAGACGGCAGTTCAGTTCATTCAACAAATACCGAAGGAGTGCCAGGACCAGGTCCTGGGCTGGTGCTGGGTAAACAAGAGTGAGTGTGTTGAGTTCCATGCTCCGTAAGAGCTTGGAGTCCAAAGGACCAGGTCATTTCTCTAAGCGTTTCTATGGGGAATCCTGTTCTCATAAAAACTTTGCCTCTTCCTCACAGGTTGGTACAATCGGCTTTTCATCAACTTCGTGCTGAGGAGGCGTATTCTCTTCTTTGTGCTGCGAACCTATTCCCTGGGTTTCATTTTGGATTCACCCAAGAGCTGTTCCTGCAGGAGTTTCCTTGGGTAAGTCTCCCCTCACCTTCGTGAAATGTCGTTACGGGAGGACGGTGGATGAGAATAGGTGCCAAGCGGAGAGGAAGATGCGAGGGGTTAGTAGGGGTCGCTTGAGACTTGTGCTCAGGTCACAGTGTGCATCCTGCCGGCCTCAAGGGCTCATTGCAACTGGACTCTCCTGGGGAGCCAGGCAGGGGGTGTGAAGGCTACACCAACGGACCAGCGGCCGGGTAGCAAGGAGAGAGGGCGCAGTTATGAGGCATCAGCAGCCTCGCTTTACAAATCTCTCTCCTCCCTTTTGGGGAAACCTCCCTATGCTCTGCCCAAGTCCATTTTACTTTGCCTGACAAACGTTTACATCACAGAAGAAGGAAACTTCAAACTAATTCACGCTGTACTTCATGTATTTTAATAAATCACTTCTTGGGGAGAGGGGAGCTTGAATTTGGAAACACCATTGCTAGTTAGAAATTAGGGCTTAACCTAAATGCCCAAATCACAATCAACCACAGTGAAATTTTAGGTATTGCGGCACTTCAGTTGGCAAGAGATTTCAAGTGGGGACGATTCGTCAGCCTCATTAAGTTTCCACGCCGGTGTTATCATCTACTCCACCTGACGTGTCCTATGCCATGGTCACACACACTGCTCTGTAGGAACCAATACAGACCCACCGAGCTGGCACCGAGGCCTTTCCGAGTGGAAGGTGCCACGCTAAGCGCTTAGATAGCATGTTATTTAATGAGAACCCAAGAGCCTTCCTGGCTGACTCAGGGCAGAACTCCCTCCTTTGGACTGATTTTATTTTTTCACGTATAATGCTCCATCTAGAGAGAAGATTGCTATAAAGTGCTTCACAATCCTTGTAATTAACACACAATTCATTCCAGAAAGGGTGATCTCTAAGTTAATGGCGCAAATGGTATGCATACTTCAAAAGATCAGTTGAAAGGCACGAACGGTCATTAATATTAATACTTCGTTCACCTCTTTGCCCCATTAAAAGCTTCAAGCATTTAAAGCTTGAATATCTTCAAGGGGAAACATACCATGTGAATGAAAAATTATTGGGCTCCTACCTCACAGGGGAGCAGCCCCCCCTGAGCTCGGTGTGGCAGTGGGGTGGTGTGGGGCCCAGAGGAGACGACAGGCACCTTCCCAGCCCTCCAGACAGAGCGAGGAAGTCTGTCCGTCTCTAGCTGGTCACGAACATGGTCTTCAATCAGATTCCTGAAGCTGCGGCTCAGCTGCCACAGGGTGACGCCGACAGCAATGAAGGCCGGCTCCAGGGCAGGCGGGGTGACCGGGGAGACACGAAATGCATTTAGGTTGCCCCCGAAACCCTGTGCTTCTTGCATCTCCCCGCGAGCCCGCAGGGTTAGGAACCTGGGGTGCAGGTTCATGTAAAATAACATACAGGTCACAGTGCCCCCCACTGTCTCTATCCCAATTGCCTTTTCTCGGCTGTCTCCCCTTTTTCACTTTCTCCGAAACGTTTGACACTAGTAGGCATCCTCTCCACACTCGGGACAAAGTGTAGAGGTCAAGGCCCAGCCTCCTCTTCGTCGCCTGCAAGGTGTGTGATCAGTACGGCGTGCCAAGGTCCCCGAGACTCAGAGGGGGGCGCCCGCGCCAGCTGCCGGGCCTCAGTGTCGGGGAACCACCCAGGCAGTAGGCTTGTTCCCATGGCCCTGCGCTAATCTGGTTTTCCTTCGCCTTTGCACTCTTCTTCCGTTTCTCTTTCCCTGCTCCTCCCACCCCTCTCGACACTGTGCTCGCTTTGGATCCTCCCGTCAAATGGAACGAGCCCCTTCTGACCACTGTCCTCATGAAAGTAAGTCCCAGCCCCAGGTCCTACCTCAGCTCTGTCTCCGAGGCCCAGATGGTGCCTCCAGCCGCCTTCTGAACTTCACCCTCGGCTCCGCGGGCACGCGGCACATTCAAAACTGAGCGAAGCACTGTCCCCCCTTTGCCCGAGCCCCACTTATTCTCTTGACTTTCCTTGTTCTATTGAGGACCCTCAATCTGTTGAGTCTTTCATATTTGCACCCTCAGTATCCTTCTTAGCCTTTGGCAGTGGTTCTCAAACTCTGGTCTTAGACCCAGTTGCATTTAAGAGAATTTTAAGGACCCCCAGAAAGCTTTTGTTTCTGTGGGTTACATCTATCATTATTAGCCATGCTGGCTATTAAAACAGAATTTTTCATTATAGGTATTAATCCATTTAAAAATAGCAATACTAAACTCACTACAAGTTAACATAATAGCATATAAGAAAAATAACTTTTTTTCCCTAAAACACGGAATTTAGTGAGAAGAACAGCATTGTTTTACATTTTTGCAAACCCTTAATGCCTGGCTTTATGGAAGGCAGCTGGATTCTCATCTCTGCTTCTTCATTCAATCTGTTGGAATAGGTTTTAGTTGAAATATAGGAAGAAATCTGGCCTCAGATTTGCATTTGGAGAAAAGAGTCATATATATTTTTAAAAATATGTCTTTATTGATTTCAGAGAGAGGAAGGGAGAAGGAGAGAGAGAGAGAAACATCAATGATGAGAGAGAGTCATTGATTGGCTGCCTCCTGCACACCCCGACCTGGGGATCCAACCCACAACCCGGGCATGTGCCCTGACTGGGAATCGAACCCAGATCTCCAGGATCATAGGTCAATGCTCAGGCTCTGAGCTACGTCAGCTGGGCAAAGGAATCATATTTTAATAGTATTTTCAGGTAATTGTGCATAGCCTTCCTTGACATTGTACCAAAACCATAAGCAAGTGACAGTTTCTTAAAGATTAGTTGCATTAACCAATATCATCCCAATAAATTTAATTAAAAAAAGGTTAGTTGTATTGTGGAATATGAAGCCATATCTATACATTTTAAAAAATCTATTGGATTAAAATCCATTGATCTATTTTTCACTTTCACTTGATGTTTTTACCTATGCATTGGTCATTTGAAAAATACTGAGTTATACAGATCTTCCCAATGTTCATATAATTCATTACATTACTGGTCCAAAAGTCCATGTGCCCAATGCTTCAACAGAACAAAACTCAAACCATCAGAGTTTGGAGTAAGAAAATGTTCATTGATCAAGAAGGTGCCAAATCAAGATGATGGGGGCCTTAGTGGTTCCTCAAATCCATCGTAAGAAAGCAGAGTTCAGGCTTCTTTTATGTCAAGGGAAGGGCAAATGGGAGGGGCTCTTTTTGTAAAAAATCAAGCCCCAAGCAGAATGCCTCTAATAATGACCATGCCTAACACAGGAGCTAGTCGGAAGGCCATGGGAATAACATAGGCCCGAACAACGTGGAGTCAGAGAGACCGAGCACTTCACTGGGTTATAATTATGCAATATAAAAAAATCACATTCATTAATATCACCACCAGCCCCATCAAAAAGTCTCTGAGTAGTGGGATGCTTTCAAGCTCATAGTGATGGATACAAGTTAAACATCAATCTAGTTTTGGCTCAAAAACTCAAATGTTATCATTTGGCAACAACTACTATGAGTTGTCTTGCTGCAAGTAATAGGCTTCCTTTACTCAGCTTTGAGAAAATGTCTGGCAGCTACTCAAATCTGAACAACTAGAGCTTGTCTGTCAGTTGTTCTTTTGAGGAAAAGTGGTGTTCCTTTGAAAAAAAATATCTAGTGTTCAGCTCGCAACTCATTTACCTGGTTGCTTTTCCTCGAAGAGCCACTGTACTTTGTAGGCAGAAGAACTGTATGTATACTTCTCATTTCATCAACCAGGATGTTAAAAGGTATGTACTCAAACCCTAGCCAGTTTGGCTGGGTGGTTAGAGTGTCAGCCCACTGGAGGGTCCAGGGTTCGATTCCGGCCAAAGGCACAAAACTCAGTTGCAGGCTCAATCCCGGGCCCCAGTTGGGGCATGTGTGGGAGGCAACCAATCGATGTGTGTCTCTCACATCGATGTTTCTCTCTCTCTCCCTTCCACTCTCTGAAAAGCAATGGAAAAAGTATCCTCAGGTGAGGATTTAAAAAAAAAAGGCATGTACTCAAGGGCTGTGATTTAATAAAATGAACAATTTGATTGATTTTGAATATGTATGTGACCCTGGGAGTTGACGAATACAGTGACTGCTAGGTCAGTTGGGTGCTGCCGCCTTAATTCATGCTGAGGCAATAGCAGTTTCCCCCACCGTTACCTTACACCATCAGTGCAAATGTCAGCACGGCCGAAAAGGTAAGTAATGCCTTAGTATTATTATAAAATTCATTTTCACTGCATAGAACCTCTGAAATGTCTTGGAGAGCCCAAGCGGTCCATGACCACACATGGGAACTGTGGCTTTGCCGTGTCTAACTGTTTAAAGTCAGCCTTTTCTATAAAAGTCCTCAAATATACTGATCCTTTCTTTTCCATTCCTCCTACCTTGACCAGTGCTGGGACCCTTGTCCTACCCTGGATTGCCCTACCAGACCCTACCTGCCCAGGGCCATCTTACAAGGCCTTGTGACATCTGACCCATGGGGCAATAGGGAGCAGAAATCCAGGCCAAGCTCCATGGGACATGGTTTGGGTTGACATCCTCCAGAGGAAGAGACACTTTGTACTAATTTGCACATGGGTTTGTAGAGGCCTTGTAATTGCTTATTTGACCTCCTGGTCTTCCTGCCCCAGTTTAATCCTACCACCAGAGTAATATCTCTAAACCATGAGCGTGGTCACAATACACTCCTCTCAAGTGCCACTGGAGTGAATACTCTCCCCTTGGAATCCAAAGTGTTCCTTAAGGGCTGCCAGGTGATATATAGTATACTCGGTAAATACTAAATTTTAGATAAGCACCAAATAATGTCTTAGTATTAGTATATCCCAAATACTGCATGGGACATACTTGTACTAAAATGTTATTTGTTGTTGATCTGAAATTCAAATATAACTTTGTGTCCTGAATTTTTATTTCTCAGATCTTCAACCATATCCCTGCTCCAATATACTTGGCCTAAGCTTTAACCAGTTTGAATAGTCAATGTTCTGAAACAGGCCCTCACGTCTAACAGCTTATCTTACTCTGTCCATCTGTTCTGGCCCGCATTCTGCCTAGAATGCCCTTCCTACTTGTCTTTGTCAAACTCCTGCCACCTATCGACACCCAGAAGCCTTTACTGATGGCCCCAAGCAGACGTGGTCTTTCTCATCTTTGAGCCACACGGCACTTTGCATCTATCCTACGGTACCTTACTGCCTCTGATTTGCGTTTAGCTGTGGGATGGGTCGGTGCCTTATCTTCTAGTAGAACGTGAGTTCCTTAAGACAAGGGTCATCTTTTTTGCTCCTGCCGTGACTGGCACAGTGCCCCGCACATTTTTTGTGCTTAATGCATAGTCGTTAAATGGCCAGTGTTTATTCTATCATGTTCTGAATAGCTGTCTTTTGGTTACTAACTGGAAACAATGAGGACTCATTGCTGGTTAAGACCCATCCACACTTGTCATGTTTCAGATAAAAAAACAATAGAGGCCACCCTGGCTGGGTTGTTCAGTGGTTAGTGTCAGCCTGCAGACTGAAGGGTCCCCGGCTCCATTCCAGCCAAGGGCATGCACCTCAGTTGCAGGCTCACCCCAACTAGGGTGCATGCGGGAGGCAACCAATCGATGTGTCTCTCTCACATCAATGTTTCTCTCCCCCCCTCCCCACTCTCCCTGAAAAGCAGTGGAAAAAATAGCCTCTGGTGACGATAAAAACAAACAAACAAAAACAATAGAGGCTGCACAACACAGGAGTGTCCATTGTGATTAGGTAATTCTCGTAAGAGATGACGACAGTCATAATTTGGAGCGTGGGATGGGTTAAGAACTATCCTGTCTTCACATGTGACTGTGTGGAGAGGGGGTGAGACTCCAGCTGTTCAAGGGTGTTTAAACCCTCGTGGAAGGAGGAGCAGTGAATCTTCTCTCCCTTCCCGCTGCCCCCTTTCCCTGCTGCCATCTGTCTCGCCTGGCCCCTCTGCAAGGGACGTGCCCCTCACGGACAGTGCGTTAAGTACTGGTGTCATTTACCAGAAAACAGACGCGGCGGAAAAAGCCAACCCAAGCTTTCAGGCATGCCGTCACTCAAAGGAAAATATCCCCGACCACAGGTTATGCCGCAGACCTGGAAAAGTAACCTAGGAGTATTTAAGCACCATGGAGGGCACCGGACTCCGGCACTGCCTTCGTGGGACGGTTGTTTCTGGCCTTAACTGTGTTGGCATCTCCAGCCTGTCGTCCTCTCCCTCACATCACTTAACGCTCGCTTTCTGCCTCGGCTGGCAGGGAAAATGTTTGCAGTCAGTTGAAAGTGAATGCAGACACCTGTGCCTTCAAAAGAGCCCCCCCACAGCCCTGAAGGGGTGGGCTGACTCAGCGGCCTGGGGGCGCCTGCGCCCTGCGGCCACCGCACCGGTCAGCGAGCGTCTCCATCGTGGACGGCGACAAAAATGGCCCATGAAACCCAAAGATGAAGAACTCTCCCCGGGCTCACGGGTTGTTAGGACCCCATATGCGTCCTTAAGAGTTAATATGGTGAAACCGCGAGGGTTCAGGGCAGCTGAGACCCATGGGCCAGACTAAATACCATCTCATAACCCTTTTCTAGGTATGCCTGGCAGAATTGGTGGGCGAGAAGATAATTTTCTAATCCCAGCACAGGACCTTTCTTTGACTAAGTGGTCACTTCATATAATTCAAAACTCCTTTATTGAGATGTTAACTTGAATGGGTTTGGGAGGAATACTATTTGTCAAGATTAATGTATTTCTAAGGGTGGCTCAAGACGTGGTATGTTAATGTAGCTGTAATACTCGCTGACTCCCAGCTCCATTGCTTGGGGAATATATATTTCAGTGTCCTCGCTTTTACCCCCCATACTCAACAATCCCTCCTCCCACTCTCTATTTCTTTTTTATTGCTCATTTTAAACAAGGAATATCTGGCATGCTGGTTTCAAAATAAATAAAACTATAGTAAATTAGTTGGACGAAGCACCCTTTTAGAGAAAATAGCTGGTAATTTATTGGCCTCTGGCAAATATAGATAATGCAATTCCTTTTTATTGGCCCAAACAGTCATCAGTTTAAAATACGTGACATGGAAACTCGTGTGTTTGTTCTAAACCCTTATTTTGTCCATTAAGCTCCTGTTACTGTCCATTAATCAAGTTCTATTTTCCATATCATAGAAAATCAGTAAGAGAAGACAATCTAACGTTTTAAACTAATGAAGTAAGCTAATCAATAGGAATGTTAGTTTAGGATTCATTCGGTTTTACCAGTGAAATCCCCAAGGGAGTACAACGCTTGGCTTGTTGAAAAGCACAGGATGCCTTCGTGCTTCCTAATTCTACACTCGTTTTACAGCGTCTTGTCTCAGAGATGCTCCATCTATAGAAATTGGTTTATAATCTTAAAAACAAAGACAATTTCCATTGCAGGTCCAGAATGAGAGGCAGCAGGTTTGCATGTAAAAAGCATGGGTTCTACACTCGGAGAGAAAGGTTTCAGTCCTGCTCCTGACAAAACTCAGGCTAATTACTGAGCCACCCTCAGCTCCTGTTGATTTTCTGCAACGCGTGGCTGATAATATTTACCTAGGTTTATGGCGAGTAAACATGCCATAAAGGCAAGCATGTTTATTTAACAGTCTTGGCTTCAGCCACACAGACATCTGTAATGTTAATAAAAATCTCACATCTCCATATTTATGGAGCAAGGAGTGCAAACAGCATCCACAGACATGCAAACTGTTGTTCCCATTGTCAGGGAAACCTGGAGCTCGGGGAGGCCGTGGGCTGCATTCAATGGTGAGAGCTGGGACGCATTCAGGTTTCTTTTCCTGTAGTTAAAGTCAGCATGGAGGTGCAATTCCGGGCCCTCGCATGGTGACTGTCAAATTGCCAGACTGTGCTGGTCTCGATCATCGGAACAGAAAGACTCCACCTGGAGTGAGGAGCAGAGCCGTCCCTGTCTGTGGTGGGGCCTCCCTCAGCCGCGGGCCTTGCGGAGCTGCTGCAGGAAGGGTAGACACGTTGGTGAAAGCTGTCCGCGTGCTGTGTCTGTCCATTTAGGAGTAAATCACGGCGCTCTGCCTGCTGTTGGGGACCCTGTCTGTTGACGTTAAAATGCGCTCACAACTTATAAAAATCATTAAGGATTCCATTTGCACCTCCCTGGTGGGAAGTTAAGAAATAAAACCATGCCAGCCAGTGTACATTTCAAATATTTACAATCCTATCCTCTCTCTCCAGGCACTACTTTGGCACATCCCTCTGAGAAATTAGTGTAGACAGAACAGCCTTCCCCAAAGCCAGCATTTTATTAAAGAAATCTCAGTCTCTGCTTTCTCCATTGTCCCCCAGAACCCTGGCCTCTTACCTCTGAATCTCACGCTGCAGAAAGAGTAAGAAGGGAAAGAAAGGAGGGAGAGGAAAGGGGGGAGGCGGTGGGAAGGGA